AAGAGAAATAAATGCCATACCCTTTTCTTTCCCTATAAAAGAGGAAAGTCTTTTTATCCGGGTCTTATTTCTTTATATTTCTATCTACTTTTCAATCTTTCGTCGCTTCTTTGTCCGATGATAACAATAGCGGTGTAAGTCAATTGTTCTTTCATGTACTATTTAGCAGTCTTTTGTGTTGCATTGTAAGTAACTCCTTTTCTTTGTTTTATAAAATTATTTTTTCTTCAGTTTACTTTACCATGTTGTTTCGCAGCTGCCTTTTTCTTTTTTTTAAACCTCAGATTGCGATAGAAGCATTTGCATATTTTATTGTATATGTGTCCTTCGTTAAATGTACGTACAAATATATACAAAAGTAACTGAATTTAGATTGAAATTAAAGTTTTTTAAAAACCTTTCAGCATATGTTAACAAGCGTCGCGCTTTTTTATAGATTTGCTCAAGCATCTGCGATGTATAGCTGGGTGTCAATAATTTCTTTTAAATCCTTAATTTCTTACCTAAAATTTAAAATAAAGTTCTTCATCTGCCTTGTTCTTTTTCAGTATTCATGTACATATGTATAAGTAGTTTATTGTCTGATAAGAATAAAAAGAACTTATTAAATAAAATGCGGATAGATCTCCTATAACGCGGCAATTACATTTTTCGAAAATGCCGTGTCGTGGAAAATCGAATTATAAGAGACACCAACTTAATACAAAAACTGGGATTCCATTCTTAAAAGAGAAAAACTGCCTTTTATGGTGTAAAAGTTTCATCATTCTTTAAATTTATGTGCATAAAAACATTCCCTAAAACACTTCAATAAAATTTAACATCATATAAAAAAGGGGGGTTACTATTAAGTCAAATTCAAAAAGAAACATAATGTTATTCCTTATCGTCACTTATTATAGTTGTTCGACAATGTTTAATTGGCCTTATTTCAAGATCAAGCTATGAAAAAGTCTTTCTAGAGTTCTTCTCAGGTCATGAGATATAGTGCGCGTGACAATTAGTATAACACATTTATAGGCGTTCGGCCCACTTTAATTAAAATGTTGGTTGGATTGTGCTCTTACAGGGAATTATTTTATTCGCGCTGAGAATGTCTATATAAGATTATAATACTGCAAAAGCAAGCAACTTACTGCTGTCGCACAAAGATAATGCACTCGACCAAAAGGGAACAACGACAACGAACGTGCATTTGTACTGGTTCCTAGAATTCCTATCTAGGGGTAAGTTTCTGCCTTCTCCGCTGACGCGCTGACCACATATTTCCTAAACCTCGTTGAAAAAGTACCGCTTTGTAAGAAAATGTAAGATTTTTTCCAAACACGTTGGAGCGAAAATGCGTTGTATAAAAGTACCATGTTGCAGGACGCCTACCTTATGTGTAAACCAAATTATGTGTAAACCTTATGTGTAATTTGCTACAGTTCTTTGATTCTTCATTTTAATTTGGTTGTTTCTCTTTTCAAAACTAAAATAGTCACTGATAGTAAATTGCTGCGAATAGCGTTATTTCAAAATTAATCAGTGTCATAAGATTTTCACATAATATTCATGAAGCATATGCCCAGATAACGCGTCAGTCAGTAACGACATTAAATTTAGGAATCGAAGCTGTTAATACCCAAAAAGGTTGAATATGAAATAAAATTCTGAACGTGGATTTCATCTTGGATGCGTGACGTTCTTTCACTCGCTTCTCTGCCAAGCTAAACTATTGTTGCGGCTTTCTTACAGCAGTTTTTTAAAATATGTTAAATGCACCGATATCATTCTTCAAGAACAGGCGTTTATAGCTCCAATTTATCTGTGATGGCTTAAGAAATATTTGACAAAATATTATATTACATTTGCAATGACTGCAATTATTTTAAGGATTTACATGTCTTCAACATTCAAATTGCTCATATAGTTATGAGGGTGTATGTGACTGTCTTGCTAGACAGTGAACAATATCATCAGACATAATAAATTTAAGAAATTAAATCGTAAAGTGATCAGTCATTACGAAGGGCATGGCTGATCATATTATGATGACATCTTTTATTAATTACACAAATGATGTTAGCTTTTATAAGAAATAACAGTTAAATATATTTGCAAGTATATAAAATTCATATATATATATATTGGTAACAAAACTAGCACGTCGATGAACAATTTTAAACATGTCATAGTAACAATAATCAGCAGAGTAAATTGCTTAAATTTCAGTAATTTCAAAAAATAAATAGAAGCTTCTTTTTCATTTGCAGACAAGAAAGGAACAAGGCGTATATTCTACTTTAATAAGCATGAAACATATCTTAGGAAAAAAGATATTAATAAATGCTTAAACTAAGTAAAAATTTACATTTTAACTAACCGTTAAATCTCACGGCGATTAAGAACTGAGTCCCTAGTTCTCGAAACCGTAAAGTGTAAAATGGCCTCTAGAAACTTCTGGAAGAATTGGTCGTAGGGCTTTTGTAAATGTTTACGATAATATGATACACTATTTTAATCATTGCTAACCTATTAAAATAATTGTGTGTATCTGTTGTCTATAGTTATAGTTTTACACAGTTCGGCCACGTTAGTACAAGATTAGGTCTTGATCAGTATATACACAATTTCTCCGTAGGGTATTCGTCATTCACTAATTACCTAGGCACTTTTAATTTTCCTTGTGTTATTATCTTGAATATCTGCTGGTTTTGGCAGTTTGTAGATTCCATTGCTTGTGCGGTACGTTGGATATGCACTCTGAGGCTGATAAGTTGCTCAAGCCAGCAGAGTAGGAAAGATTTTTAGCATTAAAACTGTTACTGTTCCTGTTACTTATATAATGTCCAAGGGCTGGCTAATAACAAACTCTTATTTGCCTTTTGGCCATGATGTATTCATGGACTAAATCTGTATTATGCTCAGATCAGTACGATTAATAACAAGAACAATATTCAAAATTGAATTTAAATATCAATAATATGACCTTAAGAATTATGATTAAATTCATGTTAGCATTCTACGTGAACAAACCTGAAGCTGGCACTCGACCTGAAGTACCTGGTACCTAAATCTATCTGAAGTAAATAAGAAATGTAAATAAGACATGTAAATAAGAAAACTCATCTAATCAAATAATAAGAAAACTCATCTGGCGTTTACAGCTATTTTCAGGGGACATTGAGCACACATATCAAGATTTCTGGAAACGTGACAAAAATTTAAGAATATTAGTAAGTGATTCTTAAACTGCAGGTAAGGAACTTCAAAGGACCCGACAGTTAACAATCAGCGGCCTAAAGAGAGATTTTTGTAAAGTAAAATTTGGCTTGTTATTTAATTTTATTAGGAAAAATATGATAAACACATTATGAAAGTTAATCATTCAGGACTCAAAAACAAAAGTCACCTAAAATGCGTATCAGACTCTTAAAATGTAAGCGCCATTGTACTACTGCTGCATTCTGATTTGACATCAATCATGTCTACGAACATGGAGATGGAATCTGTGGATTTCCAGTCCGCTGTTCAATGTGAAGAAATTTGTTGAAGTGGTTATTTATATACTTCAATTAAAGTTTTCACAAGTTTGTAGGGCACTTTGCCGGGTGGCGTGGCCCTTTATACATATTTGTTGTGTCTCCGAATCCCAGATGTTAGAAATATATGCCAGGAGATCCAAGATGTGTCTCAGAATATCTCAAAGAATCAATAATCGTGTTTTAAAAAGCAGTTTCGAAACGTGGGTGCTAAATACACATCGGTATGAGCTAGGGATACCTAGAGGGAGTTTTTCGGATCCGAGAATTAGTAAACGGACATTGGGAAGCTGTCGTATAATAAAAACACTCTTAGAAATTTGGTTGCTGAATAGTTTGAGACAAACACAGACATTTAAGATATAAATATTGCTATCACGCATCTTTATGAGAATTACACTACATAATGCCAGTAGATCGTTTGAACATATTGCTCCAAAGCGTATTAGGTTCATTTCTTACTCGAAGAGAAAAAAAAATTAATACATTATCCAATATATTAAAGTGATAACAGGACCTAAGCACTGATATCCAGAACGCTTTAGCCTTTCAAAATATACCATTGCAAGAATCTGCCTCATGTTTTAAGTAGCTTATTATTATGAATACTTTGAGGAATGTTTTAATCGTTACGATTCTAATTCTATATTACAGTTTATGTATTTTAATTAGTAATTGTACGAAATAGCTAAAACTACAGTAAATGTTTAGAACTTTCAAATCATATTCACTCAACATCTAATATCACGTTCAAAGGATCTCTAACGGTTAGCTAGGTAGCTAAAGACTTTCTTTTTCAATGACGGGCGTTAGCCGTCATATGCGTTGACTATTACTAAGGCCTGAAGCGGTAGTCACTTTTTTATAGAGGCACCTAATAGGGGGACCACAATTGCCTTTTATGACAATTACATACAGACAATTTACATACATGCCTTCTATGGCCTTTCGAACCTATAGCCCTTCTTCGAACCTACGACCTCTTCTTCGAAAATATGGCCCTTCGGGGCGACAGTCAGAGTCACTAACCATTTTCTAGTCTGGGCGGCAGGCAAAGGTATGCGTCTGAAGAAAATAATAAAAGTCTCAGTAAGCGAAGGTGAACAAAAAGTTTTACTCAATGGGATGGAATAAAATAGCAAAAAAAAGTTTCCACACAAACATATTTAATATGTATTCTGGAACTGATATCAGTATGAAATCTTTACGCTATATTTATTCATGAATAAACAACATTTTGAATCAAAATCTGTAATGTCGAATTTTTTCGTTAAACATACACTGAAAGCTGAGTGGTTTTAAGATTCTCAAATTCTAGTTTCTTTACATTACCAAAAAGGGTTTCATCTACCCAACATCCGACGGTATACAGAAGCTAATTTCATTTTTAGCCGAGGGTTTCTGCACCATTTCTACACAAAGACAGATGCAGCAGTATTTATCTACGTCTAAGCTTATATCTATTTTTCTTTGTAGGTGCAAGGAACTGCTCCAAGAAGGAATTCCCTTGTGCCAACGGAAGATGCATCCCAACTGATTGGCGTTGCGACGGAACCAATCAGTGCGGAGATAACAGCGATGAAGATTGCAGTGAGTACACATTTCGACTGCCTTAGCTATTGTCGTGTTCCAATCTCTTATGAGTCCTCTGTCTTTTATATTTCCTGTTTATTTCTAGGATGTCACGATTAGATTAACTGGTTATCATCGGTGGGGGAACAGAAAAAAGTTTTTCTTTCCCAGCTTTCTTTCTTTTTCTCACTTGATATAGTAAAGTTTATTGTTGGAAACACTTAAGTTTAATAGTAAATAATGAAAACTATATTTTGCAACTCGAATAAAACTTCATTTAAAATGAGTCCACAGAAATAGTGGTAATTCTGAAAATCTTTCATACTTATTCTCTCGAAATAATTTTACATCTAGTCAAATCTAGCTGATCATATTTCTTGATTTAAGTAATTAGTTTGTGATCATAATGTAATATTAATGAAAGAAACTAAAACGAGTAAATATTTTTTCATTAAAATTTTATTTAATTCCCAAGTTGCCCCATTAAAGAAACTTTGTCTGATAAATAGCGGTATTTCATACATAAAATTTGAATTTTGATTTACAGTACTTAATTTGTTTATACTTCTTATAATTTATGTAATTCGTAATATATCATAATTAAGGGATATATTATGACAAAGATTCAAATTTTGAGTTGCAGTGTTTAACTTGTTTATGCATCTTGTTCTCACTAAAAGAATGTCCATACAGAATGAGTTTGTGGAGTCGAAACTGTTGAATATTCCTCATTCAGGAGCAGCTAGCGCTGCAAATTTCTTAATTCATCATAGATATAAAGTGATGCAATAACGAATAAAGTTTAATTAAATATATTCTCAGAAAAAGTATTTATAAATTTGCAATTACTAAAAATCATCGAGAAGTAAATTTTCCATATCTTTGAAATTGTCTACGTTTATCAAACTCTATCTAAAACTATCTCTTTTTTGCCAAAGTTTGAAGATAAAAGATTAATGCGATTAATGATAGTCTTTCCTTTCCAAAAGTGCTTAGCTAATAATTTTAATTTTCTTTTCATCTCTTTTATTTCTTCAAGATGTAATCCTCAATATGTATTGTCTAAATTATCATTCAGATAAAATTATTTGACATCTGAATCGAAATACAAATAAGAACATAAATTTGTTTCTGAAAGAATTACTTTTTTTTTTTGCTTATTACGTGTTCCGCCCTTAGGCACTACACGGAAAGGGAGGGATGCCCCGTGGAGGTCTTTTTAAGGGAAACTGGCTCGTATTCACATAAGAAAACCATGGAAACGCCCATGCAGCCAGGCCGTTCGCTGGGACTCGAAACCCGGACCGAATTACCAGCGTTCAGCGGCTTTCACCGCTCGGCCGGTGGTGGGCCAAGGAATTACTTTTGCATCTTAAAATTCAAACAGCGTTCCAATTCGAAATTAAGGCGAAAGTAAAAACTATTTTACTTTCTGTGTTAAGCAAGTGTTCAGGGGGCATCAGTAAAGGGTGCTTAATAACTTGCAATGCTAATTTGTTAAATATATGAAACTGAACATCAAACTATATACGTTGCTAATATATTGAATTCTAGTATTCTATCTCTTTCGCACACTTGTTAGATTACACTGAGGAACAATTTGTAATATAATGTCTGTGCATTTGGATTTTTTTATTCGGTTTAGTGTTAAATAGTCATGCTGATTTCAAAACTGTAGTTAGTTTTCTTCTATCTCATCAAATTCTCTATCACTTATGTGCATGTGTCCACTATTCATGGCCTCGAACGTGGATCATAGGAAGTATAACTACTGATATCCTGTTGGATGCCATAAAACCTCAGATTGGCACTGGGAGAATAATGTCGTAGGAGACCAGTGACAAATGCATAAGACTAGTTCATTACGCCTGGATACCGTAGTGAGACTATAATCCCTCCAATAAAGTGAAGAGCATTACAGTATGGAGTCTGAGTTCTTGTTTGTATACGAGGACAACAGTGTTTAGTTTTTATTTGTATAGTATTAACTAAAACATTTCTTTATGTCTCCCTCTGCAGTTCGCATCGTAAGTGCTTACACAGCTTCAATTCGTTTTGTTATATATGTGGCAGCTTACCATCCCCATTTAAAGGACGAACATCGGTACATTCGTCAGGCAAGATTATTTTGCCTATTTTAAAGGGAAAATTGGCGATCAAGATAAATCCCGGCGCCCTCAAAAAGTATGCAACCATTGTGTCGCGAGTCTAAGGATATGGATGAAGGAAACATGTTTTAAATTTCCATTTGGTGTACTTATTATTTGGCGAGAGCCCAAAGATCACTCAAATGATTGTTATTTTTACATAGTGAAAACGTCAGGATATAAAAAAATGTAAAATAGTGTATCTAGTTTATCTTCAGCTATACGCTCAGTGCCTCACTCAGCTGAACTCTTAATGCCAGTATTCAAATAATTACCCTCTTTGGAAATGCAAGAATACGATTCTGATGAATATCGAATTGACCCGAACGTCGAAGATTTTAAAATTGAAGACTATTAGCAAGGGATTTGAGCGGTATGAGTTGAATAATTTGGCATGATATTTGGGATTATCTAAAAAGCTTTAGAACTGTTAACGTCAAAATTGCACGAGAAAAACTTGCTTGAGAAAGGAGCTAAACTATCCTATCAAGAGAAAGTGAGTTTTTGCAATGCTTCCGGAAAGACGATGGATTTGTGCATTGCCATAACGTATATGGTTTAATGGAAGAGTTGAGAATTTCGGCCTATAAAGCAACTCAATGGCTGTTGTTAATCAATAGGTCAAAGCGGTGCTTGAAGTATGTCCTCCAGTTTGTTTGGTGGAGTCTCAATGAGCCATTTAATTTGTGTACATAAGACATAAAGAGAGTCACTGATTTTCTGGAATATCACATGCACCAATGGATCCTTTGTGTTGACCTTAAAATAGCCAACAAAGCAAATATATCTTTTTTGTGTCCGTGGGAACGAGAAGCATTGGTAGCAGTCAAATTGGCCACCAAGATCTGATCTTGAAATTTGCTGATCGAAACATTCTACGTCAGCCACTTGTCAGCAGAAAGAACATCATGTTTCCATCTCTGAATATAAAACGGTGTTTCATGAAGCAATTTGTTAGAGCTTTGCTAACTGAAGGAGACTGGTTCAGGTATCTTATTTCAGAATTTTCTAACATGTCATTTGAAGACATAAAGGCCGGTGTGTTTGACGGTCTACAGATTCAGCAGTTCCTTAAAGAGGAATATTTCATCGGAGCAATGACAGAACTTCAAAATATGGTTAGCATTCAAAAACATTTCCAAAGACTTTCTTGGAAATACACGAGCAGAGAATTACAGCGAAATTTGTTAACCCAGGAACTTTTGGAGAGCTTCAAAATACTTAATTGCAATATGAACATCACATTTTATTTTTATAAAGTCATCTTGATAACTTCCAGAAAAATCTTGGTGCAGTCAGTTACGAACAGAAGGAGAGATTTTACCAATATTTGAAGGTCACGGATGCACCGTACCAAGGTAGATGGCATACACATATGAAAGTTGACTATTGCTGGAACATCAAGCAAGAGAAAGTCCACAGATTAAAAACTCCTGAAAAAACCATGAGCGAAAATCTTTACCTTAATATGTATGTTCACAGGTTGGTTTAAAATATTACTATTTGTATGTACAAAATTTAACTTGCAATAACTATACATAGCCTTGTGTGAATAGAACTGTTCTTTATGAACAGCATATTTAGTTACGTTTTCCTTTTATTTTCCTTTATATGCATATATTGTATGGCCTTTAAAGACAAAGAGAAAGTATGATGTAGCTTAAAAAGTTTACGTGATAGACAAAAACTGAGGTTATTTTTCAATTCAAAGAAGATATAACAATGCACAATGAGATAGAAATATAATAGATAATAAAGTTTCCTACGACCGTAAAATCTGAAACTGATTTGTACACTCGTGTGAAAAATTAACAAAACTTATATACATTATATTGAATTTATAAAAAAACTAATGGACAAATTTTAATGAAATTTGGTATGAATACACATTTATAATAAAAACAAATCTGAAAGCTTTCAGATTTTATATTACGCCCAAAGGGGTGCTTTTTTAACGTTTTGTATACCACTTTTTTTTATTAAATATCATGTTATTCGCAGGTGAACCATAAAATTCATTTCAAGAGTAATATCACAAAATAATTTAAAAACAGCTTATCATTAGAGTTTCCGATACACAGTCTCGCGCTGGAGATCATTTTTTTTTTCTTTCGTACAGTGTTGCTATTGCTGGATTTGAAATTGTTGGATTTGTTAATCAGAAATTAATTAAAGTTTTACAAAATATGAAATAATAATAAAACAGTTTTCAAAATCCAAATTTGGGCTTCGAGATGCCTATGTTCCAGTGGAAAAAATTGGCTCAAAATTAATAAACTTGTACGTGCTTTTATGAATATTTTTATTATACTTCCAGGTGTAAATTATACGGAAATGCTGTTATCAACAGCTTAAACAAACTATATTTTATTTTTGATTGACAGACGATTATGCTTTTTTTTCCTCATTGTATGCAGAAATACAAATTTGTCATGAAAAGAAGTCAACTTCATCAATACGTGTGGTCGATGAGAATTTTAATCTTGACCGTTTGAATTATCATGCCACGACAGGTAAGATCACAATTTCGGACGTCAGTACTAGTAGAATAGAAAAAAATATCAAACTTCAGTTGCGCAAAATATCGGTGAAACATCGCCATTAATTAAAGTAGCATTCTCCAACAACAAATCGTTCTAATTTACCAGACATAAATTGCGCTATGTGAACGGCGAGCTCCTATGGCGATAACCCTTGTACATTTGCCGTAAAAGTAATGCTTTTATTTGTACGGCTGATCAATGAACTTGCATATGCACCGGATCTCCATTAAAGAACTGGTCTGGGAAGGACTGAAGGGTTGTTCTTTAACCAGAAATGGTTCTAATTGCCAGATATAAACTGTGCTATCTGACCGTTAAGCTCATATAG